TAGTTGTTGATATCGGCTAATAGTTCATCCATCAGCTTGCGTTTGTCTTCAAATTCAACGTCGAGAATTTCCCAGGCCTTTTTAATGCTCTTGCACGTCCTCACTTGATCTGTCCACCAAGAATGTCTTGGTAGAGCTTTACGGAATCTTTGCAGTTGCTCGTCATCATCTTGGGCATATTTAGTCATCCATTGCTGGAATTCGTGTTTCCACGTGTTGTAAGTACGTCGCTTGCCGTCCCACGTTGGTACACTTAATTTTTCAATGCCGTGACTGGTTTTCTCGGGTTTTGTTAGAGAGTCAGCCATTGTCGTAACTGCTTTTGTCATGGTAAACAAGGCTTTTTCTTGATTCGAATCTTSAACGTTCACGCAMTTTTTCTTGTATGTGGCGAAATCGCGTGTAATGGTTAAATAGTCGGATTTTGCTTTCTCTCCGGATTTTTGGTTTTCATTAGCTTCGTCTCCGTCAAGTGAAAGACCGCTTTCGATTATTTTATCGGCGATTGTTTCTTGTTGCTTTTTAATGTTACGGTATTTCGCTTCTATTTGCTTGTAAACGTTTTCAAGAGATTCGACGTCAGGTTCGACTTCAAAAATCGTTTGAAACTCTTCTATAAGTTCGTAGAGAGAAGCAATTGCATTGTTCTTTTTGGCGATAATCATCGAAATATCCACTTTTGGAGGCATTTTCTTTGTTTTGTTCTTTACAAACAGTATTAATTTATTTTAGAGCCAAAAATATATTTTTGTTTTGTTTTTTGTTTTGTTTTCCGTAATTACTATTTTTGCGTTTTCCAATTCATTTGGTACATTACAATCAAACGCATTTGGTTTGTATACATTACACACAATAATACACACAATGTTCCTTAAGATCTTTTGTCCAATTTCTTAATGAAGTTGAGTGTTCTCGTAATCGGTGTACTGTTCTTCCAAAATACTTCGATTTCTTTATGCAAATTGTTCTTCGTTTTCGTACAAATTCTTTAGTTAATAACAGTTCAACAAATCCAAATTTCTTTCGTAGAACGTTCAATGTTCAAAAGTTCCAACACAATTTGATGATTTGCAATATAAGTGTTTATTGAAATTTGTAAACCTTTAAATTCGTAAATTCAATTTTGATTAAATTTAGCTTTGATAGTCAAATTCGGTAACCAAATTGAAATACGTTTCTTATACKGAAATAATGAATGGTTTGGGTACCTTAATCTTGTTGACTTCACCTTCATATAATTCGATATTGAAGAATATATATTTCGGCGTGTGTTTTAGGAGTTTTCGAGTGCTTTCAGTCATCAAACAACAATGTTCTCCTTTTCGCTGAGTCTTGCGGCTTTGAAGTCTTCTCGCTTGAA